ATTAACATATAATTTAAAATATAATTTATATATTTCTTACTCTTGATTGCAATAAGAAAGATTTAGGGAATATTTGATATGAAATTTCTCATTTATCAAATATGAATCAATAGTAAAAATTTTACAAATTAAATTAAATTTTTATTAAAATAAATTTATCTACTTTTAGTAAATTTATCTACTTAATATTTAAAATACAAGAATTATATTAATTAGCATATCTCTAAGAATTTTATTATGTCAAATAAACATTAAAAGTTTATATATTAAATATGTATATTGTAATGTTATAGCTTTTTTATTTTTTATAATTAGTGCTTAATAAATATACATACCTGATCAAAAAATTCTGGTTCAGAAGCAGAGGCATCCCATCGATTATTTAGAATAAATATATTCGGTTTTGATAATCTGGTCGAAACTTTATGAAAGAAATTTTTTTCCTGAAAGAGAAAAGAAATAATTAAAGAGATTTAGCATAAAATATATGCACTGATTATTAATCGACAATAAATTTGCTTTGTGTACAGATGTAAAGGAAGTATTTATCTATTCCTATCTAAAAAATTACGAATTTCTAAGAGGATTTTTTCCAAAATAATTTCTCTTTTGCGTATATTTTTTTTGTTTGACAGACATTATTGCAAGTATTATGTTTGTTACAGATATATATATTACACTTACTGTAACCATCAAAGTAGATTCAGCATTTGCTACTAAGACAAAAACATCGGCATCTAAACAATGCTTATCAATCCATTCATCAAGATTTGGAGTTACATCTACTCCTGGACTATCGACAAATACTACATCATCTCGTAGCAATAAACATTTCTCCTTTGGCCAAAATATTCTCACTAAATGGCTTTCGCATAATTTCTCTTTACAAAGAGCGTGACCCAACTGCCCGACAGATTGAACTGGCTGTTTTTCGGTTGATCCTTCCGTAATAAGGTATGATTCTCCATTATCTGAACCTTCAACTTGCAGGAAACAGTTTGTGGTGTGTCCTATACCACTTGGTAAAATTTTATCGCGCAGCATAGCATTAATAACAGTACTTTTTCCATTACTTGTTCTGCAAAAAAAATATGCATATAAATATATACATATAAATTATATCCTCCATTTATATAGATATTGGATTGTGACTTACAAGAAAAATGATTTGTTCAGTTTTCGTAAGAATAATATTTTATATTTTATATAAACAAAAGAATGAGATCAATTACAATGAGGTATTGTTTAATGTAATTGCTCACCTGCCAAAAAAGGCAACTTTCATATGATCCCTTCTAAGGACATCTTTTATTCCACGCACTTTATCAATATAATTTTTGACCTTTACAGCCTCTTCCACTGTTACAATATTTCGGTCATTTTGTAATGCTATATAAAATTAATACTAATTAGATGAATGGTTTTATTATGATATTAGACATGTTCTCTTACATTTCTCAATTTTCTGTTTACTTACATGTCATAAATTCTACAGTTTCTTCCACATATTTTTCTATATCCACAAATACATCATTTATTCTTTTCTTCGCCTTCACAAAAATCTGTAGAGGAGAATTATCAGTTCTAACATCTGTTGATCGAAGTTGGCTGTCCCCTCCAATCATGGAAGATTGTACAATTGGTCGATTGATATAGGCAGCCATTGTTTATATTTCTATTATAAACGTGGTGTATTTGGCAAAAATAATAAAAAAGTACGGTGCAGTTTGTGGATAGGCAGTACGTTGGTACACAGTGCACAGCATGCGGGATCAACTGAAATCATAAAAAGCAGGAGTTAAACATTTTCTAATAATCAGTTTAAAGTCTACAATATTTGATGTATACTGACAAAATTAAAAAGTAAAATGATGATGATAATTATTGATAAATGCAGGATATATCTCTTGCTGACTTTATATTTTTTTCTTTATAAAAATGGAATATAATATTATAGAATGTAATAAAAAAATATAGTTGATTATATTTTCAGAGAAATATCCTTTATGTGTATATAGTATTTGATACAACAGTGCAAAACTAACTCTGTGATAATAAAGCATCAAAAACAGATAAAAAATAAAATCAATAAGACAAAAACACAAATAAGATAATAAAGATGCAACAATATAATAGTGCTTTAAAAACACTAAATTTTATATATAATATACATTTGCCTTATAAATATATAGCAGATGTGTGTGTATATATCACAAGCATTAACAATTTAAATTAAACATAACATTTTTCAAATTTCTTCTCTATTTAGTTCTTTTGTGATAAAATCAAAACATATGAAAAGAGAATTCTATCTCTTTTCTATCTTCTCTACACATATAGGGTGTATCACAGCAATTACAAATTGTGTCACTTATAATTATAAAATTATGATAAAACAAGCCAGAATAAACATCTTTTTTTTTTATATACATTGAATATTTTTATACTAATTTATCATATCAAATTAAGGCTAAATGTCATCAATGTAATTGTAGTTATTCCAATTTAACAATTCTCTGATTACAAATTACAATAAATTATATCCTGAAAAAAATTAAATCTTTTGTATCAAATTAAATCATTTAATAAAAAAAACTTCCCATGCAAATCGAAGAAAAATCATATATAATAGCAATAATTTTCAATAGTTTAGGAACATCCCACATGTTTTAATACTAAATAAATATATGCAACAAGCAAAACATATAGTAGAAATAGTGCAACCTTTTTATCTTTAGTCATTGATGAATCCGTAAAGTGAATCTATGATATAATTATTTGAATGTTGTCCTGTGTCCAAAATTGCTAAAACAATTTATATATGTTTATTATTAGCATAACAATTTCTTACTACAAATTATATCTAGTTTATTCATATTATTTCCTTTTCATTCAGAAATACAGATACAAGATACTTTGGACACGGATCTTTTTTTTTTTTTACTAAAGTTTATTGGAGTTCTCAATTTAAATTATATAAATTTGAAATCTACAATAAGAAAACATGTGACATATAAATTGATGAGCAATACGCAAGATTTATTTCTTTGAAAAAATGTGCAAGAATGTGCGTTTTATTAATTAATTAAAATTTTATATTAAATCATATATATTCAAATTAGAGATCGTCCGTCTTTTAACATAAAAGAATCGCATACTTTTAATAATTGGATATTCGGACAAGATAGTATTGCGTATCAGAATATCTAAAAATTGTATTATATCGTCTAACCTCTAGCGAGAATCGCAAAATGTCCTTGCACGAAAATAGTATATATACAAATTTTTATTAAGACATTAACATATGTTTATATGTGGCGAATTTGTCATACCGTAAAGACAGTTGTGCGTAAAATGACGAATAGTAATTCATGACTATGGATGAAATTGTCTGTTTAATCGGTAATATTAGACTGCAATTAAATACCTTCAATCCATATATATATATATATATATATATCAAATATATGTATATACCATAGACGTAGGAAATAGTGAAGCCACTGCGGGAAGTAAATTGTGCCTAAATTTGATTGGCTGTTATTTTGCGCAAGCGCAATGATCGTCTTGCGATTGTCAAACTGTCACGCGATTGTCAAACCGTCATACTATATTTCTATGCTATGGCATATATATACATATAAATTTTGTGCTGAATAGCTTCGTAGCTGAAGACACTGGTATCAAATAACTGCATGCACTTGCACTTAAAAAAAAAATAAAATAAAATGTTACACATGATATATATATATATATATATATATATATATATAGAGAGAGAGAGAGAGAAGAAGATGGACTCGCCAATGGCGAGAGTGTAAGGCTTTATTACATGCGTACCCAAAAAATTTCGTCGGCCAATCGGTGCGTCCGACAGAGAAATCGTCGTGCGACAAACAAATGCAATATCGCCCCAAGAAACGAAAGCGTTTGGAACATCCGAAAACGTCAAGCGGAATAATATCCGTGGATTTTGCTTTCTGACTCGCTTTCGAGTTTGCTCCTGTTTTTGCTTCCAGTACTTCAGCACGGAGAAATATAATACCGCTGAAGCGTTCGAATTTGAATGCGTAAAGCGCGAAAAACAAACGCGCGTACTCTTGAATCGTAAAAGGATTATCGGAGTGTCGGAAGACATGCCAAGCACCATCAAGGTATTCGACGGCACCGTCGTTCACACGTTGGAAGTTTCTCAGGAAGATGCTGCAAAGGCTAATCAAGGTGTGCATCTGAAAGTGCTCTATGACTTACACAATCTATATATGTGTTTTTGTGAATTTTTTAAGAGCTTTTTTTTTTTTAAGAATTTCTCTGACACTTGGATCTCTTATCTTTTTCAGATTCGCTATTTGCGTCGCAACTTATGCATAATTATGAAGCGATAATTGTGCACAGTCCTGATCAACCAGTTGCTGAAGAGACAGGTGATTATTACGATGTGAAATATTTTACTATAATAATACTGATTAATATATAATATAAAATATTAGGGTACTTGTCTCTATTTTGATGTTGTATAGAAATATTTTTTAAGACACTCTCTTTATACATATTGTTATTGGTAGAATCTTCTGGCAATAATTCATTATCCCATACCACGGTGCAAGAATTTTCGACAAACAAATGCAATATCGCCCCAAGAAACGAAAGCGTTTGGAACATCCGAAAACGTCAAGCGGAATAATATCCGTGGATTTTGCTTTCTGACTCGCTTTCGAGTTTGCTCCTGTTTTTGCTTCCAGTACTTCAGCACGGAGAAATATAATACCGCTGAAGCGTTCGAATTTGAATGCGTAAAGCGCGAAAAACAAACGCGCGTACTCTTGAATCGTAAAAGGATTATCGGAGTGTCGGAAGACATGCCAAGCACCATCAAGGTATTCGACGGCACCGTCGTTCACACGTTGGAAGTTTCTCAGGAAGATGCTGCAAAGGCTAATCAAGGTGTGCATCTGAAAGTGCTCTATGACTTACACAATCTATATATGTGTTTTTGTGAATTTTTTAAGAGCTTTTTTTTTTTTAAGAATTTCTCTGACACTTGGATCTCTTATCTTTTTCAGATTCGCTATTTGCGTCGCAACTTATGCATAATTATGAAGCGATAATTGTGCACAGTCCTGATCAACCAGTTGCTGAAGAGACAGGTGATTATTACGATGTGAAATATTTTACTATAATAATACTGATTAATATATAATATAAAATATTAGGGTACTTGTCTCTATTTTGATGTTGTATAGAAATATTTTTTAAGACACTCTCTTTATACATATTGTTATTGGTAGAATCTTCTGGCAATAATTCATTATCCCATACCACGGTGCAAGAATTTTCTCAAGATTTTTCTCAAGATTCTTCTCCAGAAAAAGGTATGATATTTTATTACTATGTTCTTCTTTTATTGTTTTTAGAACAGAGATTATTTGTTAGGAAAATTTAAGGAGTCTGAAAAGAAACAAATGATATATGTTGCTTTACAGATGGTTTTCGTTGGCCGCACGAGGCAATTCTTTTACTTCTCACAGTATATAAAGATCAGGAACACCAAATTATATCTGGAACGATGACAATGAAAAAGTTTTGGTCTATAATTGCTTCTCAATTAATCAAAAAAGGTTACAATGTTAATGCTTCTCAATGTAAAAGTAAAATGGCAGGTTTGAAAAATACCTACAAAAGTGTGAAAGATCATAAAGGAAGGAGTAAATATAACAAATATCGAACATGGCGATACTATGACGTAAGTGTAGAATGAATATTTTATATGATATATAGTAATACTATTTCTCTCATTTGTAATGCATCAAAAGATATATTAATGTTTCAATATAAAGGATATTGAAATCAATATATTTTTTAATGCATTACAGATTATGGATGAAATATTCAAGAGAAGACCATGGGTGACTAAGGTTCTTACATCAGATAGTCCAACTTCGTCTGCTGAATATAATGTTGATAATAAGAAAAGAAATCAATCACCATGTAAAACTGAATTGCCTCCCAAGCGTAAGCATTCGAGCAAGCTATAATATAATTAAATTCTTGTTTTATTTGTTTTATAGGCATAATGGATACTATATGCATATAATAACTATTATACTACAATTATACTATAATATATGCTACATTTGTCAAGAATATTGAGTTGTCAGGGACAATATTGAAATACTGCCAACATTATTATATTCTGCCTACATCATTATCTTTGTTGCCTAGTAAAATATATATTAAAATTACAGGCTTAAAACAGTTTGACATGTTGGAAAATATAATTGCCGTCACAGAAGAAAATACCTCTATACGAAGAAAGATGCATGAAGAAGCAATGGTTCGTCAGGATAAATTACTTGATATCCTAGGGAAGATACCCAGTAACAATTCAAATTCGTCGTCTGTTGAAAACAATGCTAATAATGAAAGAAGCAGATCCTTCAAAACGGAATTGTCTTCCAGATGTAAGTGTATCATAGTTAGCCTTTGATATAACACATCACTATAATAAATCAATATGTTCTTGTTTTACTTATAAGTATAATACGCATATATTATGATTTTTAATAATATTAAGTTAAAATGGAAATACTGTCTATATCACACCAATATCATTATTGCTCGATGTAATATATATTGAAATTACAGACGTGAAACAATATGCCTTGTTGGAAAGGATAATTACTGTTATGGAGGAAAGTACAACTGAACGGAAAAGGATGCATGAAGAAGCCATGGCTCGTCAAGATAAATTACTCGACATTCTGGAAAAAATACTTAATAAATAGCAACGTGACATATATATATATATATAGTCTGATTGATCCATGCATAGAAAGTTTTGTGATATTATTTTGTACTAAAAACGGTAATTTTTTTTCTTTATTCTATATTAGAAGGTTTTCATTCTTTCATGTGTGGATAGAGATAGAAAAGTTTTATTGATAATATAATAGTACAATTTACGTATTTTATTAAAAAATTACATTTTATTTTATTATAAAGTGTGAGAAATGAATAAATTATGTATAAATATCTATAATATTTTATATATGAACAGCATCATAATTTATCAATAATGCATTTCTTATGTATAAATTATAGCATATATATCTTTTTTGTTTTTACATTAACATTTTTATTATTGTATTCCATTTTTCCTCCTCACAGTTCTGCTTTTTTTATGTCTAGAACAATGATCTGATTTTGCAATAGCAATCTTAGCAAACAAATATTATGTAGCAATATGTAATTAGACATAAAATCCATAGGACTCATGGATCCATGGCAATAATTTCAAAATAGAAGTTTTATTGTAATTGCAACTTATCCATAAAAATTTGAAATTGCAAAATACTACAGAAGATGCTTATCTGCAAGTATTATTTTATTTTCATCAGTGGTGCAAATGAGGTTTTTCTCAAATTACGTTAAATAAATTCAAATATTGAAAGTAGCAAGTGTGTGTTAATTAATATGACACTTAGAGATTTCAAATTTTTATTCTTGTCATTAATCTCTATAGATATATAAAAAGGCGCTGAAATGCGAGTTGAGCGAAATAAATTCATTAAGATAAGAATATCTTAATATCTTAAGAGACAAGAATGTCTTAATATCTTAAGAGATAAGAATGTTTCTTTCAGTACGAAATAAAAATATTTCTTTCACGTTCTGTAAAGAGGGAGAGGAGAGACAAATGGTAATAAGAATATATCATGAATAAACCGAACATAGTACTTTAATAGCGAAGATCAGAGATAATAAAAGAAACCAAATCTCATTCTCTTTCATTCCTGTCTATGTAATGACGTTCGTAGAACGATCAGCTGATTAGACTCAGCGGTTTGGTCCCCGCTCTTTCCTTCATTAAAAAAAGATGAAAAATCCGGTTTATATTCTTTCTCTCTCTTTACATTATATTCTATGATGGGACTATACTACATAACTGCATACTGATACTATTTTTCTCAGCTCGTCAGTATGTTCCAGTGCAAGTTATAGATTGTATAAAGTTCAATGAGTAGATCATATAGCGAATAAAAACATCATGGAAGATAGTAGTAATGCGCAACCGGGATGTATCGATTCTTTTAAAAGTAACGAGCATTACGGGAAATGTATAAAGGAGTTGTCAAAGGAAGAATTACTATCGTTAGTAATAAAATGCGCCAATTTTGCAGCGGAAAAACATCGGAATCAAAGAAGGAAGGATGTCGATCAAACTCCATACATAAACCATCCTTTAGGTTCAGTTCAAGCGGCTAAAACAATTTTATTTGAATGATATGAGTGTCTCAAGAATCACGTATTCTTTTTGAGTTAGCTTATATAAATAGTAATAATAATATTAATTATTACCAATCTTGTTTTAAAGATTTCTGTTTTAATTAGTCATAGCAAAAAAGGAGCAATTTTGAAATTGTTTATCTTGAAAGTTAAAGAATAAGTTTTAAAAACATAAATTGGTGGTAAAAAATTGAATTTTTTTTATTAGGAACATGTCTAATGTGAAAATTACAAAGTCACAAAAACTGCCAGTCTTTAATTTAAATTAATAAGAAAAATTATTTCAAATTAGTTAAAAAATCTGTAGTTGGAAGAAAGTGACTCTTGTGGAACATTAATATGTATGGTAGATATGTGTATTTAATTCAATTATTTTTTTTTTTTTAGGAGTTGCAAACATTTTAATTCAAGAGGGCAATATTTTTGAACCAGTAGTAATTCTAGCAGCAATCTTACACGATACAGTAGAAGATACAGATACTACATTTGCAGAAATTGAGAAAGAATTTGGGCATAGAGTTTGCCAGGTAGTCCGTGAAGTGACTGATGATAAAACGTTATCAAAAGCCGAACGTAAACGGTTACAGATAGAGCATACTCCTAATGTATCTCGCGAAGCAAAACTAGTAAAACTAGCCGATAAGTTATACAACTTGAGAGATCTCGAAAAGAGTGTGCCTATTGGTTGGACAAGGGAACGAGTAAAGG